CAATGATTGCAAAAAGCAAATGGAAGAAGTACGTGTAAGGTGGTGTTTCTGTGACAGAAGAGATCACAGTGAAAAGTTTAAGAATACTTTAATGTCTAGCCAGATTTCAAGATAATAGAGAGAGGAATTACTTTGTCTACTGGATGCAGGGCGTTTAGAGCTTGGCTTCCTGGGGCTGAGGTCTTGTTTATGTTTTCTGTTCAATCTTTTTCTTTCTTTTCTTTTAAATGCTAAGCTCTGGTCCCTTAATTTCATACTCAGAATATACAATTTTTTTTTGCCTACTAAATCTAGAGAAAAATAATGAAATATTCTGACACACAGTTGATCCAAAATCCACAACGTATCCGTGACAGAATAAAAAAAATAAAATTACAAAACAACTCTCTTCTATGAATACCAGACTCACTCAATCTTTTCCATTTTCAAAAACAGCTGGAACAGTTTCTTGTTATGAATACCTGTGAAGACACCTGAGACAATTCTCCCATTCCTAAACTACTTGCTTGAAAAAGTCATAGATTGCAGACTAAGGTTTATCTGAGCACTGAGGTGGTCTCTTGAGACAGTATGCTAGATTTGTATTCCAATCACAAGTATGAAACAAACCATCAGTCAGATACAATTTCAAGCACAAGTTTTCTAGCCAAGAATACCCAATTTTATCAAAGACTAGTAGACTGTACATAGAAACATTGGTGCTAGATTTCCTGGAGGAAAAAAGTTCTTTTTAGGAATGACTGGCATTTCTCACAACAGTCCTCCTGTTAAGCATTCTGGCACTGGTTAGCATGAAATCAGGGGTCCACCAGGATTCTCAGAAAATTTACAGAATGGGGACCCTGGTTGTAGTTCTTTGGAGTAGTTACTTTTAGGATTACAAGCAACCAGATCTCACCTAAGAGAAATACACTGGTCTGTTCTCTCAAGACTAAGATAAGCTCCCTGACACAAGTTTCCATAGACAAGCATTATGTACCTGAACAACAAAGCTTTAGTTTTGTACATCCACGTACATCAGATGACATTGAGAAAGACCATAAGTACTTGATTGAAAACAGTCTCTACTACTTTCTAAGGTGAACAATGCTTCTGCAATTAAGACTGAATTTAAAAGTATTAGGAGAAACCAATGCTAGTTCACCTTTCTTGTGCTATTCAAACTGAGATGAACAGGACTGGAAGTGCTGCACTGTAGTGCATGAAGAGCTGTTGACCAGGTTGAAATGGCACGTGCAGTATAGTAGCAGCTATGAAAAAGGACATAATCTTAACTCCCTCAGAGACAATCCAAGTATTTGGGGGGACTCTGAACTCTGAAACAGCCTTTTTCCTTTGGGAAACAAGCACTGAAAATATATCTTCTCAAATACATCCTCAACCTTACAGAGCTAAGCAAACACACTGTCAGGCTGTACAACAGACAACCTAGTTCACGGCATACAGGCACCAACACATCTAGAAAACACCAACCCCTCTGGTCAGTGCCTCAGTTTCTACCCTCATAAATTACTTTCCAGAGCTAGACTGTACTCAGATGATGGGCACATCTCTGTATCCCATCCCAATGACAGCATTCCTCACGAGTGCATCACTCTGTTTTGTACAATCTGGTGTTAAACATCTCAAGAGAGATCCCTTCAGCTCCATGGAGAGTTATGCCACAGCTTAGCATGCTTGCTGGAAATCTCTTTCCTCAAACTTCCCGTTATTAATTTCAAACAATCCATACTTACAATAATGTATTTGTACTTTTCACTGTACTCTGTTTTTTGTTCCCTGAGTTCACAAGGCATTAACTCCGTTTTGTTCTCTTTGTTTTTAACAGTTGGTTTAATAGCCTGTCCACACCAACTTCCTTTTACTATTCAAAGTCAAGTACAACTTCCACACTCATTTGTGGAAGAAAAAAATAAAAAATGGCACTTCAGAGAACAATTTAAATTGTATTTCTAAGGCATACTTATAAAAACTTTACAGCAGAATGGAAAGTAAAGATTGCAAACATTAATGCCACAACGACCATTAATAGTGACTAAAACTGCCCAACAGATATTTCATCTGTAGGTCTTGCAAGAAGGTTACCCTTAAGGTAAGATAGTTTGTCTGAAGGATTATAGCATATTTGTTTCCATTCAAGGGCAATGTCTCAACTGTTACATAAAAAGGCATCTTCCCTGTTGCACTCAGTATGTTCTCAAAATCTAAACAGTTTACCCACTCCTACCAGTATCACAGGAACAACAGGAACAATAAAAGTGTAAATGTCTTCAAGCTCTCCAAGTTTACTACATCCTACTTAGACACACAAAAAAAGACACCGGAACGACCAAAGAATGATGAAACTAGACCAAAACTGCTCTTTAGAAGTATCTCATCTTTATTTTTTCCACCATCTTCTCTGTCCTTACTGTGGCATGTTACTGGAGTGCTTCAATTCAAAAAAAACCTTGTCATCCTGCCCTAACAGCTAAATTTCAGATGCACACTCAAACAAAGAAAGCCACAAACAGGGCACAACAAGGAGAAGTTTATAAACTCCTGATGGCAATCAGGGCCATTCCTTGGGCAAGCAAGCCCCAATTTTCTGCCAGGTTCCCCACAGCCAGCATCCCCCTGATACAAAGGTGTTTTTCAGCTACTGAGCATTTTTTAAAAGGTCACTGTCAACAAGATTACAAGTCATTGCAAATCTCAACTAGATTACAAAAGTTTGGTACTGTCTCCAGATTTTTAGTTTTCAGTGTGCATCAGACTGTTTTGTTAACTCACACTGTAAGCAGGATAGATGGGTCAGGAGGGATTACGAGTCCTGACAGCTCACTAAGGAAATGCTGGCAATGCACACCAAGCACTCAGCTGAAGATTTTTACCTCTCACTAACTGCTCACTGCAGCGCTGATCCGGCACCTTGAAGGTTTCAATGAATAGTCTTGGATGATAACCACTGAGGCAATTTTTGAGGCTTTTGGTACGAGCTGCATTCATGCTGCTTAGTTTCAAATTCTTTTAGAAGCAGGGAGGGTCAGTACTGCAGTATAAGTGAACTCAGACCACAGTCAGAGTCTATACTGTAATGTAGATCATCTTTCCCTGAAAAGACATCTGATATGCTTGTCCTAATTGTAATTTTCATATCAGGAGAGATTTTATTTCTCAGGAAAACAGAACTGTCATTTGCAACGAGTTTGCTTTACAGATAATAAAGCAGCCTTAACAGCATTTACTCTCAGGAGAAATCTGCCTTATAAAGGGACACAGGCCAACATGTAAGCATGAGTATCACAGAATTAGTGAGGACTTGAATATCCATATCCATCATTAATTTGCACAGTGTTCATATATCATAAATCTTTCCAATTTCAACTCTAGAAGCTGGCTGTATGAATACTGCATGGACTTCATATTAGTGACTAATTATATTAATGGAAAGGAAGTATTGCCTAATGACTAAGGTACATCTACACTGTCTAATCACAAAAAAAAGGCCAGAGTGTGATGTAAAGTTACATAAGTAGTTTAAAGTTAGTGCTGCAGCAGCATGGAAATTGACAAATGTTATTTTGCTAAGCAGCATTTCCATCACTGCACGTCAGATACATGACACTGAAGCCACAAAGTCCAAGACTCTGAAAGAGAGACCAATAGTAGTAGCAGCTTTAGCAGACATTACTAACACACTCCCATGCCTCATTTATAGAAAGGGAAATATCACAAGACAAGTAACAGGGAGGTTTCAGAAGTCTGTACAGCTACTGAAATCAAGAATCTGCTGGGAAATCTGAAGGTATTTATCTCTTTTACTTGTGCACAGGAAATCATTCTGGTGTCTGTTCTACACTAGGAATGCCTACAATGACAGCAACAGTACCAGACCTGTAGTAGTGTAGCTATAATTTACCAACTATTTGTAAGTCACACACCAAATGGTACAAAAACAGCTAGTTAGAAATGAAGTTTTCCACTCAACTCTGCTTGTGCTGGAGAGCCTAATTGAACTTCATACATTGAAACAAATGCCAAATACCACAGAATCACAGAATCACCCGGGTTGGAAGGGACCTCAAGGATCATGTAGTTCCAACCCCCCTGCCTAGCAGGGCCACCAAACGTACACATTCAGATCAGGTTGCCCAGGACCCCGTCCAACCTGGCCTTGAACACGTCCAAGGACGGGGCATCCACAACCTCCCTGGGCAGCCCGTTCCAGGGCCTAACTACTCTCCTTGTGAAGAACTTCCCCCCTAACATCCAACCTAAATCTTTCCTCCTTCAAATACCAAGAACGTCAAAGACTCTTGGCTGGATGTTATCAGAAGTGGAAAATCAATTTGAGTTCAGCTTCTGCTCACTGGACTTTTCCATTTGCTAGCCACAGAAATTCTAATATCATTTAATGCAATTATCTTTATTTGCCAGAAGTGAGATCATTGGGAGATCATTAAGGGAATCTGACCAGATTCTGGTGTTTTCTCACTTTTCTTAATGATACAATGTTTGATCCAAAATCAGCAAGAGATTTTAGTAGGGTTAGTTAAAAAATGAAGTAAAATGACTTCACCTTTGAGGGATATATAGTTATTCATATACAGCTATTATATAATCTTAAACTTTTGTAAAATTAAAGGTCAACATGGAAATAACATTTTTAAAATGTCCTTCCAAAAATTTGAAGTTTGTTCACATGTAACACAGTTACTTAAAAACAACTTTAGCTGCAATTTCATTGAGCTTAAAGTATCTGTACCGATTATCAATTTTTATTCCCAAATAATTAAAAAGCATTTTAGTGCCCAAACAGGATCACATTACAGAAAAAAAGCTAAACACTGAACTGAAAAGCGCAGTAGAAGATTATATAGCAAAACATTTGTATAGCAAAGTTTCCAGAAGATCTACAAAATTGTATAACAAATACTTTAACCAAATAGGCATTACAATAAAAAATACAAATAGTAACAGGAAAAAACTCTTATTCTCTTTTCAGTGTAGCTACTTACTGTAGAAACCCAAATCTATCTGTAACTTTGTACAGGCGATAGTCAGCATCTTCCCATGGCTCAATCTGTGCACCATCTCGTCCCTATCAGAAAGAAAGGAAAAACAAAGAAAGAAAAGAGAGAGCCAAATTAAGTTTCAAATTAAGTTCTATGATACAATAAACTAAGACACAGAAAGACATGATTGAGCCATAATCTTTGATACACTTTGGTTGTAGTAAGCTAGAGCAGTAGAAGCAGTTTAGTACACCAGTACTAAACTGACCACCCAAAAATAGCAAAGTAGCACAGCTCTATCAGCTGCTGGGACTGGTATTTTCATCACAGGAAACCTCCTTCTGCCACTGCTGCATGCATTCATTCCCATTCCTTCCTCCTGCTCGTAATGAAATACACACTCTTCTGATACAAACTACATACAGGTTGCTGAGTGTGAAGAGAGGCCACAGCTCAGAATAGAAGTCACGTACACAGTGTTTCCATATCAAAACAATACAGCTACTCTAAGTGCTCACTGTGCAGGACATTACCCTAAGCCTGGCATTAAAATCCTTCATCCATTCTACAAACAAGTCTAAGGCACAGCTCTCCAAGGACACTTAAAAACTCACAAGCGTTACTGGAATATATGAACATGGTGCAGGTATTCCAGACACGTGCTGTGCCAGGCTTTTATATGACAAGTAGTTTGAGAAAAAGATAAGGCCTAGGATATTTCTTTAATTCCTTATAACAATTTGACATACAAAGCAGTTTACTTATCTATTAAGTTTTCTGTAATGATGTGCTTCGATTACCATCAAATGAATTAAAGAGCATGGTAAGAGTTCCTCTGATCCTACAGATTTTTTTGAGAACTATTGGTGATAAGTGGATGGTTGGACTGGATGATCTTGTAGGTCTTTTCTAACCTTGGTGTTTCTGTGATATGCACTCAGCATTCTCAAACATGATGCTTTCATTACATCTAAAAACATTACACTACCTTAAAGCAGCCCCAGTGCAACTTGCCATGCACCTGAAAAATGAGTTGGTTATTCAGAATATCCCTGTGGAAGGAGAATTTAACCTACTCACAGACCAAAGCATCCCAAAAATCACTAGATTAGTAGTACAGAGGGTATTTTAACTAAATAAACAGAAGCTAGTGGGAAACCGTAATTCATTTTGAAAACAGAAATATTACTAAAGTTAATTATAAAATGACTTTCAATTATTATTAAATTCACTTACTCTGTCATACTTGGCAACTATCTCTGCTCGTTCCTGGGCAAGTTTGACAGCAGCATCCTGCTCGGCATCTGCGCCTGTGGAGGATTATAATAAAGCTGTTCAGATTCTCTCCCTTGTGAGCAAAAAAACTGCAGTTAAGTACTTAGAAAATAATCTTGACTTCAGAGTAATTACTTGTATGGAGAAATGCCAAAACAATTGTATCAAAACAAAATATGATCGCAGTACACCTCCTGAATACTGAGCAGAATAAAATATAATTAGTGGACAATAACTAACTCTGAGTTCAGAATGTCCCCCCCTTCCACTACAAAAGCAATTCAATAAATTTATTTTAAAAAGGATAAAAACTCTCTAACTGAAAGAGTGAAGAGAGTAGTAAAAGATCCTACTTGACAATTCCAGAAGCATTTACCTAGTTGAAGAAAACCCAAACATACACTACTGTTTTAAATCCAACATTGTAAATATTTTCAGGATTCATACAGGAGGGATGAAAAAACCATGAATACCCAAGAAATACTGCATGACTTTATCTTAGAAATTGTCTCAGACTTATTTCTTAGAAAACAGGGAAAGAGATCACTATAGAATCACATCTGCAACTTGTGCAGCCCAGAGAGAGAATAAGCATAAGTATCTAACAATGGGAAGGTTGGTAAGCAAGAAAAAAAACAGATATTTAGGTAAATACTGAACATCAGTACACCATAAGTACAGCAATAGTTGAGGTTACTGCAATAGTGGAGTTAAAGTTTAGAGAAATCTCATATGATTGAGGAAACATGAAACAGACTGCAAGCAGAACTGAATCAGGTTCCTCAGCATTCTTCCTTTAGCAGAAACAATCTCTCAATCACAGATTAGAATGCAAAGGGTACCACAGGTGGTAATTAAGATCATGGAATCACAGAATGACCTGGGTTGAAATGGACCACAATGGTCATCTTGTTTCAACCCCCTGCTGTGTGCAGGGTCACCAACCACCAGACGAGGCTGCCCAGAGCCACATCCAGCCTGGCCTTGAATGCCTCCAAGGATGGGGCATCCACAGCCTCCTTGGGCAACCTGTTCCAGTGTGTGAAAAACTTCCTCCTAATATCTAACCTAAACCTCCCTTGTCTCAGTTAAAGACCATTCCCCCTGTCCTATCACTGTCCACCCTTATAAACAGCCGTTCCCCCTCCTGTTTATGTGCTCCCCTTCATGAACTGGAAGGCCACAATGAGGTCTCCCTGGAGCCTTCTCTTCTCCAAGCTGAACAAGCCCAGTTCCCTCAACCTTACCCCATAGGAGAGGTGCTCCAGCCCTCTGATCATCTTAGTGCCCTCCTCTGGACCTGCACCAAGAGCTCCGTGTCCTTCCTGTGCTGGGAACCCCAGGCCTGGATGCAGTACTGCAGATGGGGCCTCACAAGAGCTGAGTAGGGGAGGACAACCACCTCCTCTCCCTGCTGGCCACCCCTTTTTTTAATGCAGCACAGAACACAGTTGGCCACCTGGGCAAGAATATACTGCACTTCAATATTCCAAATTTAAAGGGGCAAAACTGGACATCACATGAATAAGTCATGTCAATAAGTCTGGAAAAGATTTTTTGGAGCCTATGGCATTAGCACACTTATTTGTTCAAAGGGATATTTCTTTATTAAAATTCACCTACATATTTAAGTTGCTCCTAAGTAGCCTTCAAAGCTGCCTGCTAGTGAAGTGACTGAGCACATTCTCTACATGTTTCCCCTTGAAGTTTCTTTAGGGGAATGCAGACAGAACCGCAGCATGCCCCCATCACAGACACATGCCCCACTGCATGGGCAGCAATGATGCCTGTCCCAAATTTCCCCTAACAAGAAGTCTGACTGCTTCTTTAACTACAGGAAATCATAAATAAATGCTCTGTGCTTTGCTTTCCACATTCTGGCTCCCCTCTGTCTGTCACTATCATTTCCCAATCAGACCGCTCTCATTTATTAGAGAGGACATCTGGCTTTGTCATTTTTTCCCGAAGTACACGAGAATCAGCATGCATTTATTTATGTAATCATTTAAAATTTAAGAACCACATCTGCTACATTTTGAAGCTATGCATCTCTATGCCACATCACTGATAAATAATTTCCTCCCTGTAAGGCGGTAAGTGAGTTGCTTCATTTCATGTTGTCAGCCTGTAGTGCTGTTTGAGCACAGTGATGCTCCTGTTGCTCCTCACGGTGCTGATCCACCTTCATTCATTCCCAAGCTTAAAGAGGAGAGCAAGAGATGAAGCAGTTTGGTTTCATGCTTGCTTTTTTCTGACAATTCTATAATTACCATGGGCTGTTACCCCAGCTAGCTGTGTAACAGCCAACAAAAATCCCCTTCTAGAACGTCCTCCCCAGCAACATCACCACACAAGGACACAAAAACCAAACTCCATGCTACCCTGAGCACAATTAAGAACTATATATTCCCAATAAAATTACACCAAACCATTTGTTAATCCTTTACTAGCTGACACACTTTGCTCACCAAACTTCCAGTGCCCACACTTAAGCCCCTAATCCACACTGACAAAGTAGTACATGAAACCAGGCTTTATTTTCAAAGAAGGAAGCTAAAGGAATCATAATCAAAACTGAATTGTATTTTCCTTTGTAAGACACAAACAGATGTCTGTTTACATTAATTCCTTAGAGAAGACCAATTACGAGTTTTTAAAAGTAAATTTATACTTGCTGAGAGAATTCCAAAGTTGAGCTGTTCTAATCCTTACTTCTTGTCATGGTTTTATGGACAGATTTGGGGAAAGCCTATTTGTTTAAAGTATGATTACTGTTAGGCCTTGAGAAATGGGGAAATACTTCTATCACTCTTTTCCCAGTAAAAGAGAAATAAGATCTGATTTGAGTAAGAGAGTAGCTAAGTAAGTAGTGAGGGCCATGGTATTTTTTCATTAACAGAATACAACTAAACGATTAATTGCTTGCATTCAAAAATATACTCTAAAGGAGACACACGGATTAAACAACAGAAGTTGAAACCAAGATTAAATAATGTATGATAGAATAATGCAAAACTGTATTTGCGCCAGAAGCAGGGTCCAGATTTATGCTGAACATCTCTGTGGCTTACCTTCCTGTTCTCCCCACAAGTAACACACATCGACGTTTGACATGTTCAGTGCCTCATGACAATTCAATTACATTTAGCATGGAAATTATCATATTCATTGCCTTTAAAGTAATCCTCTTCACTTTCTGCCAGGAACATCTTAATCTTTTAGCTGCTCGGACACAGCCTAACATTACGTTAATCCACTCAGAACTCAGAGAACAGCTTGAAACAGGGACTAGAGGTTATATTTCAAGAAATAAACAGATCATATTGTTTCTTGCAAGAATTATTTAAATATCTTCAAGTTAGAAATTACAGAATGATCCCTGATTAAGTAAAAGCTAAATATGGGAACAAATTCTGCACAAAATATGCTCCTTGGAAGAAAAATACACAGAATCTTGGAAAGGTTGAAGTTGAAAGGGACCTTGAAGTCTTACTTCAATGAAAGCAGTTAAAGTGGTGAAACTAGTTTGATTACCTTTCAAGTTAAAATTAGCATTAGAGGTGATCAACAGCACATGATGTAGCAAATAATATAGTCTCAGGTGATGCTGATATTAGCATATGATCAGTTAAGTAGCACAGAAAACTGATTTTGACTAAAAACTAAGGAAATGTCAGCAACCGAAAACAAAGTATAATCACTGCTGATAGAAAGTGCCAATGACAGCACAATAATCAGAGCATGCAAATTCCTAATACAGCTGGTCAGCATGACAGGGTACAGTGAGTGTGATGCTAGCAGCAATGTCATGCATTTAGTATGCAAAAGAGGTAAATGAGAGAAAGAAAGGCCAGAACAAAACACTCTGGACAGCTGGCCTAATACATAGCTTTCTCCATCAGAGTATTTTCTCCCCATCACTCTGTCACAATGATCTGTTTCCTGTATTTTACAGATATTACAAGTTTATACATTTGGAAAGGCAGCACACAAAGCTCTTGAAGCATCGGTAAGGGAGAAATTTTAACAGAAAATTCCAGCCTGTGACAGTCTTAAAAAGGACCAACTTAACAGCCAGGATTTTACCCTTTGTCTTCTTTACCCTTAGAAATCGGGTGACTTGACTTTTCAGCACTGCTGGGATGACCAGTAAACAGCTGGATTTAAAGGATACTTGAGTTTGGGGTAAGATTTGGTCTCATTTTGCCAGTCACTGATTTTAAGTTCATAAAGAATCAGGTCTGATAAATTAGATATCTGTGCACTGTCATCAGCCCCATAAAGCAAGAAAACCGCCAGCACTATGTACAAGCTTTGCTCCTTTGTCACTAATAAGAGCATCTCCTCACCTCAGCAATTGTTCAAGAATTGAAGGCAACAATCTCTTTGGAACAGAAAGACGTGATGGTATGTAAAAAACGTAAGTGGCAAAGGCAAAAAAAACAAGCCAGCCCTACCTACTGCAAGGACACAGTCCTAATTTGTCTTCAGTATTTATTTTCTGATAAAGGAAATTAGTCATCTGGAGATGGCAGCATTACTTAGAAGCAACAAATTTATAGATGAATTACAGATGTTAGCCTGCTATTCACTATTAGGTGGTGTGCATCTCAGCCACATTGAAAATAAAACCCCACATTTTCAGAGGTTCTTCAAAACTTCAAAACCCTTGTTCAGCTCAGTTTACTGGAACAAGAACTGAAAAATATCACATTAAATTAAAATAAACTCTTAAGTTGGCAATAACCAGGCTTCTTACACAACCTTTTATTACAAATCAACTAGAAACAGCCTGTTCTTTTAATCAGCTACAGCTCTAAGCATCCCATGCAGAAGTGTTTACTTTTCCTGAATTCTACATTCTTGCAATCCTAAGGAAGAAAGTCAAGTATAGTAAACTTACAGGAAAATGAACTAATAATAAGATGTAAAATGCAAGGTAAAAACCATAATATCCTGCTCCCAAACGAATGCAAGACTAATTGGAATTGAGCGGGTGTCATAGTGACTTAATAGCAAAATGTTACATCAAATTCAAAACAGACATTACTTAAAGGAAAATAATTACATACCCTACAAATGGATGTAAAAATGAAACTCTCGACTAAGAATAATATTTTCTCAAGGACAAATTTACAACAACAACAAAACAGATACTAACAAAGTCACATTCTGACAGCTATTGAACAACTGAGAAATAATCCCGGCTTACTCTCACCTTCATGCTACACGTTCCCTTTTGTTTCGCAGGGAGAAACATTAGTTGCCACACGTATGCAACTACAGACAGTGCAGAGCCTTAGAGCTGGGTTTGCTCAGCCCAGAGCAGAGGAGCTGAGGGAAGGCCTGACGGCGGCTGCAGCTCTCACAGGGAGCAGAGGGCAGCGCTGAGCTCTGCTCTGTGTGACAGTAGAGGACCTGAGGAACTTCAAGAAGCATTTGGACAGTCTCAGACATGGCTGGCCCTGTGACGAACCATCTACAAGCCACTGAGCCAAAGTTACTGTGAATGAAGTTTGTGTGGCTCTACCTCACTAGTTAGGCTTCTCCCTTAGTCTAAAAATGCACTGTTAGATACAAGGAAAGGTAAAAACCACCGAGCACAGCTTCTTCATCAAGGCAGCACAACATGAGTACCACAGAGAGCTTCACAGATCTCGAAGGAGTGGGGACGTAACAAGGTATGTTACAGTGCTTATGGTGCTGATGCATAAGTTATAGATGTACCATAAACTTAAGTCATGACTCTTGTTGTGGGGATGAGGGTTAGTATATTGCTATTGCCCTGTGCTACCTTATCCTTACTCTGAAAAGGAGATTTCTCCCTGCTTTATCTGACCCACCCCCATTGCCTCCTTGACTGTGGAGCAATCTAAAACCCCCAAAGACTTGGAACACAATCATCTGTTTTCCATTGCTTCACTCAAATTCTTGTTTGCACACAGCACATTCCACTGCACAAAGAGCTGCAGTGGCACAAATTCCTGTCTGCAGGCACTACCAACAGCTGCTGTGCATCTACACACTGAAGGCACATAACAGAGCAACAAGCAGAAGTTTTGTTTTAAGTCTGCGGTCATATCAGAAAGTCCCTTTCATACCAATGCTGTTTATTTTCCTTCAAGTTCTTTCTCACAAACAATGAAGGAAAAGCCATGACCCATGACGTACGCTTAATAGTATTTTGTTGTGGGTAGACAACATTTAAAAAGAAGAAAAACGTGGTACATATCTACACATAGATATCAGATTTTCTGCTTTACAGGAAACAAAATAAACATTTATTATACTTCATTTCTCTTCTCATGCATGTTATTTTTAGGAAGTGAAAAAACAGTTGAATAGTCAGAAAATGCTATGTCTTTACAGAGTAATAGTTGCTCAGGAAGAAAATACCACCAGTAATTAAGTGAGTTACATTTCTTCCACCATTCAGCGTAACCGTATAACTTAATCATACTGGGTATTTAAAACTCAAAGTTGTCACTGTACAGAAATTAAAGAGAAGGAAATCAGTGCACAGTACCTTCAGACAGTTAACAGTTAAAGTGCAGTACATAAAATAAAATGATATTTTACCATTCTGTCGATTGAGGTTTTCTGCCCAGTCCTTGTAAAAGTCACTTTTAGTCCTCATGAAGTAAACCTGTTTATTCCTAGATCATATTCCAAGCCACTGCATCCGAAAGTAAAAGGAGAAAGTTCTCCTCCTCCACTTGGAGCAATTGCTCCATGTAACCGAGCTATTTGGCACTGGCTCACTCTTTTTCAAGGCATGGCCCCTCTACAGCTACACGAACTGCAGATACACAAACAAAGATGCCATTTGTTAGCAAGAAGTGTCATGCAGGCAACATAGCAGTGGTATCCATTGCAGCCTACAGCCCGGCTAATAATAAACAAGAGGATTTGAACAAACAGCCTCACAGGACACTGCTCCTGTAACACATCACTGGTCTGGGGTAAGAATTCTTACTGGTATTTGCCAAGAGCTGCATGAAAAGCACCTCATTTAAAGAACTGACTAGAAATGGGGCTTTAGGTGTCTGCTTCTGGCTTAGTACTTAAGATACCATGAAATAAAATCTTGTAAAAATGCAGTTTGTGTTTCTGTAACTGTTTAGTATTTCTTGGTTACGGGATGGAAAATACTTTTTTATTATTATTTAGACCTGCTTTATTGTTAGGGATAACTTGGGGACTTGAAATTCTTAGGATGCTAGGAGGTGATAAGAATGTTTTCCTGGATCAAAACAGTACAAATCTAAGATTGAATATTGCTAGAATTCATCTGCTTTCAGGACAGCAGTCAGCACTCCCAACACTTGCAAAACAAACCTCCATATCAAATATGCAAGGGCACTTATACCAAGCTGTTCTCCTGCAGAGTTTTTTGGCCTCGCACAAGGTTCTTCTCAAGCAAAGTGCTACCTGCTATGCAATGGTTCAGCTAAGAATCAGCCCACAACTACTATTTAACTTCTTAACAATTTAGAAGCACGCACTGTGCCAAACCTGGCTTGAAAGACTTGTGGTGCTCAGATTGCTGCAAATCTGACAGTCATTGGGACTCTTTAGACTAGAGAAGGCTCAAGGGAAACTTATCAGTGTATGTAAGATACCTGAAGGGAGGCTGCAAACATGATGGAGCCAGGCTCCTTCCAGCAGCAACCAGTGCCAGGACAAGAGGCAACGGGCACAAACTGAAACACAAGAGGTTCCTTGTAACATCACGAAGCATTTCTGTGCTTCTAGGTGCCAGAGCATTGGCACAGGTTGCCCAGAGAGGCTCTAGAGTCTCCTCTTTGGAGATCTTCAGGAGCCGCCTTGACACGGTCTTGGGCACCCAGCTGTGGGGGTCCCTGCCTGAGCAGCGCTTGGGCCAGATAGACCCAGAGGTCCTTGCCAACCTCAACTTGTGACTCTGATTTCCTTGCACCCTGGAAAGCATTAAATGCCAGGAACAAAAGATCTGATCAAGATCATAGAACTACTCTCTTTTCTTTTGCTTCCCCCAGAGAATTTTTTAAAAATAATAATTCCTTCAATTGTATTAATCTTCCTCCTTATGTTGCCTCACTGCACCTGGAAAAGATCAACAGCTCCTTTATCTTTTCTCACTAGTTACTAATTACAGATCCTACCCAAACCCAAGCGTCAATAATTTAGTCTGCTGATATAGTGTGAGTTTAGACTAAGCCCATACAATATCAGTCTCTAAGATATTTCTCCTGAACGTGACATTCTTACTGCTGGCATTATTACAGACAATAGCAAGCTTGCTATACAAAAACCATCTTCCATTTTTCTCACCGCAGAACTATTGAACTGGTTCCATAAAACCAAAGACTTATTTCCAGATCTGAGCACATTAGTGAGGAAGACAAAACAACCTACACACCATGAAGAGTAGCACTCATCCCAGGCTAACTCTCCCAGTAAATACCTTAAGCACCTGACAACAGTCATGGTTTTTAACAGCACTGGTGTCCTTCTACCACACTACCTTCAGGCAGCAATAGGATAAGAGCCATATCGTTCTGATATTTTTCTTGCATCTTTAACTTCTTTTCATGTTTAGTATGTGTATTTTTCTGCATATTTTGAAGTAATGACCTACAGAGGAAGGGGAAGATTTTGACTAGGAAGCTTATCTAAAAATAAAGTAAAGCTATTAGGAAAATCAATACACACAGCCATATTGGCACACACACAAAAAATCCAACTGCAGAAAGCATACACTCCTTCCCCTGCGGCTTTTAAAAGTCAGCATTTCTTCAGAATAGAACTTGTTGTTGCAGTTGTGTTGCATGAGGAGTAACAGGTGGAAGATAGCAAAGTAGGGACTGAACTTGCCTGAAGAAATATAATTGAACTCTCATCTTAATGGAAAATCATGCTTCATTACAGCAGAACACTTGCAGTTCTGCAGGATCCCCTGTGAGATGCTGCACAGTCACCAATGGAAAACGGTCACTTTGGAGATTAGTAGAATTAGCTGCTGCTAAAAAGCTATCTCAAAGCAATTTCAAAACCACCCTCAAAGGACTCAAAGTAAGAGCAAGGAAACCAAGGCAGCTGCATCAAGTAATGTTCCATGGAGAAAGCTCGTGTCAAAACATTAAATTGGAATTAAAGAGTCTTACATATACTGCAAAGAATTTAAAACAACCATTCTTACTATCAGCAATCAGTAAGCAGTAATTGACTAAGAGACTTACAAGAACTCTACAAACATTAATCAATCTCTCTAATATTGCTAGGACCATATTTTTAATCTTATGGCCTTATTAAAGCTTACTAGTTAATAAGAGCCCCATAAGTACAAAATTCAAATAAAACGGCAAGAAAATTAAATAAGTATATAATAAAACATATTTGGGCCATCTACTTAGATTTAATTCACAATTACTTCTACATGCTTTGCTTAAATAAGTACATCTTGAAATTAGATCGTCTTCATCAGCCGTGCCCACGGCCAACCCAGCTGGAAGCTGCAGTCTGAGTGCGAAGTCACCTTCGTAGCACGTCCTCAGAATGCCACAAAGCAGAGCGACACGAACTGGCAGTGCTCTGCAGTGCTCTGCAATAATTCCACCTCACCAAGTGTTGTGTGTGCAGTCATGAGCCATGAGACAATTAATCTGATGAGGGTTAACACAATCAGCTGCAGATCCAAAAGAACCACAATCGCTAATTTCTGACAAGCTACAATTAAGAGAGTACGGCCAATTTTGAACAATGCTCCTTTCTTGAAAGGGTGGAAATAAAAGAGCACAATATTTTATGGCAGCTTTTAATAAACATAATCTCAAAGGCTTGGGCTGGGTATAATTTCAGGCTTGCTAATATCTCATGACTGGTTTGACTTGTGCAACAAGCAGTGTCTTCTGTCTCAGCTTAAGTCAGCTTTTGTTCTCCTCCTTCTCCTTCCCTAGATGGTGTCTGGCTTTTTCAAGTGCTTATTACTGTTTTTCTCTCCTCAGTCTCATGAAAGGGCACAATTCTGACCACTGTGAAATGGTCACTCACACATTTCTTCTTTAAGGATATATAAACACAAATCTCACTTAGTCGGCCCTATAAACAAGTGATGATCAAAGAGGATTTGCATTCTCACTGCTCAACAAGACAGAGCAAGCCTTGTTTCTGTAACACATTAATACTGGAAGTAAAGAAGCTGAAAGGATAGGAAAGTCTTCACAGAAAAGCACATGAGGATTGCTACTACATGGAAGTCACTTTACAGACTGACAGCCAAAGATTACATCTTCTGGAACTCTGCCTACATCTAACACTGCTATGCTATGTTTCAGTTACATTCTATATGTGTGAGTCTCGCATGAATTCTCCTTCAAATTCATGACCTTTCCCAGTGCTGGTCCCAGTCTTTATAATTATGTCTTAAAATAATATTCTGCAAGTCAGCTGCTGTATTAAACTGTAAAATCAAACGTGGCCATGGCAGCAGCATCAACAGACAGAAAAGCAGAAATATTTCAGGAATTTTAACTGCAACCTAATGTAAGTCATCCTCTACAAACTGTTGTGAGTCCCTCATACCCCTCATAATCCCTCATAATACAGAAGAACTTGTCACTCCAAACATAATGCCTCCGATTTATTTCCATGGAAACTATAACAGATGCAAAGAGTACAATAACACTATTTGATGGAGCAAATTCTCAGCTACAAGCCACTTGTTCTCAGCATAGCCACCACCATCAGCTTTGCACTTTCAGCAGCAAAGAAAGAGCCTGCATGCCATGTTTGTAACAATCTGTATCAGCAGAGGTGACCCACTGCCGTTGTCACCACTGCAGAAATGCACCACCCACCGCCTCACTGTGCTCACATCCATAAACGTTCAGCAAATGTCAGTGAGTGCCATTTTTTTCCACATGGAGGAATTCAATTCCACACCTTTGCTTCATGTGCACTTCCATGTCAGATGCCATTTTGTCAGGCTGCCCCTCTGCTGCCATCTGTCACACAACAACATGTAACAGAATACTGGTGGGAAGGCTCAGCCTCTACTGCCACACCACCATCATAAAACAGGAGGCATTACTTTTGGAGCAGCCCTCATATATGAAGTCCATGGCCCCCCCAGGGTTCTGAAAACTACAATACCCATCCTGCACGCTGCTGTTACTTCTTTCCACTCCGACAGGTTACTAAATACAAAAGGAAAACTATCTTTCTGCATCCATTTCCAATGTCCTGTATTGCACATCTTAATTCGCAGCACACTGTGAATGTTTTAACAGCATTAAGATATGCAGTATCAATTTAAACAGAAAAATGGTAGTAATATTTTAGATGCTGACACAAGCAAGAACATTTGCTAAGAAGAGTTATGCTTATCACTTTGGCAGACTTATATTTAAGTAGTCTGATGCTATGCTGCACTAATTAAGTCTCTCAATTAATCATTTTTATCTCTGTATCAGTCAGAATTAATGGAGCAAACAATAATGCTATTTTAAAATTCACCATTAATGATGTGATGTCTGTTCCCAGTGCCACCAAAACAACATTCAGACTTACAGACAGAAATTTTAAAAAGGGGCTTTGTTTTTGTGGAAGCTGTGCTTCCTCACTATGTCCAGTTACAAAAGTCATCTATATTTTATCATTTTACTCACTAAAATATAAAGTTTTGTTCCTCTGCACAGACAGTCCTTGAATACTCTGACATATGCACAGCTTCAACTCGTCATCTGATTACAC